GCGCTAAATTGTCACTGATTACAGCGTTTCCCGTGGTTGTACGGAGAACTATTTATCGCAGACTCAAATATTTTTTTGCAAAACCTGTAATTTTGCTCGTTACAGGAAATATTTTTACCGTCGATTTTATACGTACACAGGTTTTACACATGTCAACTTTGACTTTTGAAAGATTTAAAATATGAACAAGTTATGTGACCGTAAAAAGTGTTGTGTGGCGGATTGTAACAATAAAATATCAAAAAGGCATCGTTTCCCACATTTTGAAACAGATTGTTTTGTGCATGAAACGCGAAGAGGATTGAAATGTGCTATTATTTCTTTCCTATTTATGCAAGGTAAGTAACAGGTACAAATTGAGGCAGAATTATTACCAACTGTACCTATAGGCGCAAAAGGGTGTAGACTTGAGTTTTATGTACAGATGTAGATACTTATATTGTAATTCGTTTTAGATAATTCAACAACTTCCACCCTTGCTTCTCAAGTAACCAGTAAGCACCAGGATCAAGTTAACATTTGTTGTCAAAAACTTGTGTGACAATTTGCTGAAACGGTTTTATTACCTCTTGGAACAAATAATTTAGTTCTCAAGATATTTTTTAACAAAAATATGTAGTCCAAACAGCAATTAAAACCAAATATTTCGTAGGACAACTCGTTACGTAAGGATCTTTTTGCAAAGTGTTAACTCTACAAAGCGTAAGTTGCACTTACTTCTGAGTTTTATATGTAATTTGTAAACATGTAATTTAAGATGTCTGTGTTAAATAATGTAATGTGATTGTATCTAAATACACTTGCAATTTAACAACTTTGTATTCTTTATCTATATTTGTGATTTAGATCGAATTGGGGAAATTACTTCATGGATTTAGAAGCTGGTCACCAGATGGCGCTACTCTGATTTTGATGCTTTAGTTCACAGTACACCCACCAGGGTCCGCCAAAATACCATACAAATTTGTAACATTGCTGTTTCTATTCTGAGAAGGCCGTATTCTGTGATTTATACCAACAAATCTCAAATTTGACCAGTGCGTCGGTTATTTATAGTAATACACCTAATATTCTGCGCGAATCCTGCTTTCTGCTGGACAAATATGAGCACTACGCGATTCGGTGAGGCTTCCGAAGCTGCTATTAACGTGGCTATCGATCAAGTGACGCCAATAAATACTAAGAGATCGAATGGTTACGTATGGAAGCAGTTTCATGAATTTTGCGGACAACGAGGTTACGAATTAACAAGAACGATGCCCACCACAAAACTTGCCCTAATTATGAAGGATTGGGGGTACAACATGAAACAGAAGAATGGAGAAGACTATAAGGAATCGGTGATAAAAACAATGTGGAACGTGACCGCCAAGCAGCTTCAAAAATTGTATTTTCAAGAATTCGGTGTAAGGTTTGATTCATTTTCTGACGTGGAGTTTAAACAAAGCCCGAGACGCCAAAAGACGTGAACTGCAGAAGCTGCCTGAAAAACGGAAGTGCAGCTCATCTGCCCTGAGTGATGCGGAATATAAAGATATTGTTTCAAAGCTCGACGAGGATACACCTGACGGTTTGGAACGAAAATTCTACAACATTGCTAGCTATGAACTGGCTTGGCGAGGAGGGGAAGCCGCAGTTGCTGAGGTGAATTTTTTCCACGACGAGGTAAGCAATTCCGGCGTCTGGTCCGGCAGAATAGAATACAACCCAGTATTTAGTAAGACTGCACAAGGTGGAGGTCGGATTCTAACAGACAGCAAATGGCTGGTAGCTAACACGGAGAAGTCGGAATTTTGTCCTGTGAGGTATCAATTGTTATTTTGTAAAATTACAAGTATATTTAGTATCATCTGAATAATTCAGGTTATTCAAGAAGCTCCTGAGTAAGAGAGGACCAAATGTTACTACAAACAGGCTGTTCCTGACTCCCAACCCACTATGGAGGGATCCTTCTTCCGTTGGCTGGTACAAAAATTCTCCTGTTGGAAAAAATCAAATAGGGAAATGGACGAAATCTGATGCGAAACAAATCGGCGTTGATACAACAATAACGAAAATCACCAATCACTCTTTGAGATCCTCAGCAGTCTCCCATTTGGCAAGGAGGGCGTTGGCGAAGAGCAGTTAATAAAGATTACTGGACATGCGAGCACAGCTTCCATTAAGCCCTACCTCCAGCTGGATTCATGTCATCATGCTAAAATAATAGGAAAAATGAGGAATGAAGCATCATCGTCCACTTATTCTTCAACTTTAATTACAAGTTCCAGCTCATCGAGCTCCTCAACAAATCTTGAAAAAGAGTGTGACGTTAGCGCAAAAAAACCTAGAATTATGAATTTTTATAATTGTACCTTTCATAGCAATCAATTTTGATTTTTAAAAGCTTGTATAATTTAGAGTTTCAACTAATTAACTAATTAAAATAATTGCTTATTATGTTGTTTCTTTCTCCAGCTACGATTATTTTTGAGTTTTCATTATGACGCGTCGTAGGCGGGACGTCACCAATAATCTTCCCTAGGGCGATTATCGCGATAACCATCCCTAGAGAAATTATCAGAAAATGAGATCCTGATTGGGCAGTTTTTTCAAAATGGACAGTTTTGATTTGGCCGCGTCAGTCATGTGACAGTTGAGTGTAATTATCAAAGGACATGAAAATATATCGGAACATTCCTTGACTAAATAAGCGGGTATTTGGTCCGTTTCTGATGTAGGTTTGTTCTTCGGATAGCTGCTTCTATGTCTTCTACTGTTATTGAATCAATATTAATACAATAAAATTGTAGCATAGAGGAATATAATGGTTTGTTGAAGGAACTGAGTTCTTGTAAACAAAAGAAAAATGCGTTGCGAAAGCATCGACTATCTAACTGAGTGTTATCCGAGCCGAAAGGGTACGGCCATAGCTTCGCCACTGGAATATCTGCATTAGAGGGAACTCTATTTCCTGGCGATGGCCTTGCCCCCGGGCGTTCTACTATTTTCCGCTGCCTCCATCCTTTTGTCTCATTTCCTCCCTTCTTGTTTCTCCCTTTCTTATTGTTGTCCTCTCCGTGCCTATCTTTCTGTCTCCTTCTCTGGACTGCTTGTACTTATATCTGATTCTTCCTCCACCTCCAGTACTCGTGTGCTTACTTTCTTCATTTGGTTTTTGTCTCTGCTCCACTCTTCCCATCTTTCTATGGGAGTCCCCACTCCCCGAGGCCGCCAACGTTTGGTCCATGTTCCATGTGAAGCAGAGTCGGCCTACTTTCCATTCCGAAGCACGTAGATTCTTGGCCATCTGCAGTATATGATCATTGTTCCTCCTGTTTATATGCCTCCAGTATCTCAACTGCCTCATCTTCAGTCGCCCAGTGATCGCCTTTCCTCCTAGTAATTCCCTTATCCCTTTCCTTGTGAGGTTGCTGTTTTCAAGCAGTATCCGTATTGCCTTCCGTTCCGCCCTCCTCATTGTCTGCCACTCTTTGTTAGCGTTTCTTAAAATTGAGTAGCTTAGTGACAGGATCATTTATTGATTGATTGATTGATTTATTTATTTATTTATTGTCCCTCTCTTGTTCTGGGCCCTCAACAGGCTTTCGCCCAATTACAGAGTGACCCACATAATGCATTTTAGAGGGTCCCTTAAGTTGTTCTATACTACCCCGGTATTTACCTTACGAATGTTATATAGATATATTTTATTGTTACTATATTTAATTTTTTGCATGTGTATAAATGTTTATAAGATGTTATAGTTGGAAGTATGTCCAGGAAATATGGCAAGTTTTTAGGCAAGATTGAAAACCGGCTTTGCCGAATCTTGTCATTTTTGATTACTTAATAATCAATCAATGTTATTATATTATTATTATTAGGAAAACCTAATTCGGAGTAGCCGGCAGGACCTCAACCCAGGTTCGAACATCCGACCTCCGGATTTATAGTCCAACGCTCTACCATTGAACCATAAATCCGAGCAGATATCGGTCTTGTTATTTCAATTTTCCTATAGTCAACTTTTGCCTTTTTGTTTCAGATATGGATTCCGGGCAGACTTTTCACCATTTACAAAAAATTGACAATTATATAGCAGTATCATGAAAACCGCTTAGCTACCAACTTTCACAAAGTATCATCAAAATCATTGTTCCTGTCTTTATGTTTGATTGAAATTAAAATTTGTCTTAAAACTTGCCTTAAACCGGTAAACTACGATTTTCACGTGGCGGCCATATTTGTGACGTCATGATGTCACTAAGCTACCAAATTTTACTACCAAACATTACACAACAAAAAGCTGTTGGTAATTAAACTTTGATAACCTTGAAAATCGTCGGAAAAAATTGGTCCATATTGACCTTGAAAATGAAATAAGATACGACAAAACAGTTGTCATCCACGCCCGAGGAACTTGAGGCTTCACCTTGATCTACTCTACAAGACCACCGCCACGTGGCATGCGACTTTCACCTTGACCTACTTTCCAAAGTCGCCACCAGATGGCAACCGACCTTGAAATGAGCCAGGTTCGACACTACCAAAAGAATTGTTATATAAAGAAGGACGCTAGCAAACGTTGTCGACAGGTAGCTGCATTTCCGACCGTAGTCGATCGAGGACAAATCAGTTAACCGTGCCAGTGTAGTATTTTACGCTGCCAAGAACCACACCCAATACGAAAAGTCCCAAAATACAATTTTTTAATTTTTACGAATGTAATTGTAAAGGAGCTTATTTTTGTATGAAGGGCGAAGAACATTTTGTTATGTGAAGTACCGTTATTTTATTTATGTAAAAATTGAGGGTTGTGTAGAAAAACCGCCATTTCCATTCTATCTCCCTTTTCCTTCCTGTTGCAGATCATCATTTTAGCCTTGACTGTTAAATAATTGCATTTTTTATTAATTTTGTCAGCTGAAATATTTAACGTCAAATATTGAGCTTTTTTTGAATATTGGTGAACTGGTTTTAAGGGCACCAAATTTAGTACGTGTTTTTTAGTAGTACAAGTTGTATTTTGAATTTGACATGTTGTAGAGAATAAATCTTCCCTTACTTTGACATGGTGAATATTAGTTTGGAGGATTAAATTATAAACAGTGCCACCTGAACCAACCAGTACCTAATCAAAACGACGACTGGTCGCGACTACGACCAACAACATTTTTATTCTTAAATTTGACATTCTAATAGTCATTTATGCCAAAGAAGAGTGAGCGGTTGAATAATGGGCGTCCACCACCTTACCTCGAGGAATTTGTTACTGGAAGTTTATCTGACGATTCAAACGACGACAAAGACTTGGATGTAACAATCAAAATGGAAGATTCTAGGGTTACATCACTTTTGGAAGGACTTGCGAATCAGATTACATTGATGCAAGCACAGCTGATGCAAAATACAGAGGTACAGACAAGGATGGAAGAGAAGAATAATGAACTTCATCAGAAGCTGGAAGCTACAAATCGACAACTAGCTGAAGTTCAGCGAACGATGAAAATTGAAGTCCCTCCTACAACTCGATCATCAGCTATACTGAATAATACAGTCCCAGTAACATTACCTGCACAGCTTGATACGCCTTCGCCTTCGATAACTCCGACAAGAAATTCTACGCACCAACAGTCAACACCTTCATGTTCAATTCCTAGTTTTTCTGTTTACCCAAATAACCCTGTATATTGGCAACAGCATCCATCGTTACCTGTCAGAAAGTATTTAGTAGCATTGCCAAAGTTTGATGGAAATCCTTGTGACTGGCTGGTTTTCAATGCAGAGTATAAAAGAACTACGACAGAGTTTGCATATACTTCTTCAGAAAATACAACGAGACTAAACAGTAGTTTGCAAGGGAAAGCTCGTGAGCTTGTTCAGTGGTTATTAATTCATGACGACATGGCGGAGAAGATCATGGAGAGATTGTATAGCAGGTTTGGTCGACCAGAACTTTTAGTGGACGCACAAATTACTATGTTGAAAAACATTCCCGGAATCTGTGAAAATAGTGTGGGACAGATTATTCCTTTTGCTGACAAAGTGATAAACTTTAGTCACTTTATGTTGACTTGTTCTAGTCAACATCAGCTTGCCAATCCCACACTGCTTAATGAGTTGATCCTAAAGCTCCCAATGAATATGAGAATTGCATGGGCCTCTCATATTAGCTCACTGACTGGTGTCCCGTCTATATTAGATTTTAGTAACTGGATTGAAGTTAAAGCCGACAACATAGCCAGAGTTCCTGTGTGCAATTCTTTGATTTCTCCGACAGAGAAAAAGACGACACCCAAGAAATATCAAATGCTTCACACTTCCAACGTTACAAGTAAGAAAGAAATGAACTGTGTCTTATGCGAAAAGAACCATTTCATCGCTAACTGCCCGGATTTTTTGAATAAATCTACAGATGATAAATGGAAGTTAGTAACAGAAAAGAAATTGTGTTTTTCTTGTTTGAAATTTGGACATTCTACTAGAATGTGCCGCATTAGAAAGTCTTGCAATAAGAATGGATGTAACAGAGTTCATCATCCTCAATTACACAGTGAATGTCAAGATAATAAATATACGCCAACGGTTTTAAATATGGAAGTATCCTGTCATGCTGCGTTGAAAGCAAATCAATCCAAGGTGTTGTTTAAAGTAGTTCCAGTAAAATTATACAATAGAGGAGAAGTTGTTTCCACGTATGCATTGATTGATGAGGGATCAAGCGTAAGCCTTATCAAGAGAACCGTAGCTGTACGTTTGAAGTTGAAGGGACCTATGCGAAAGTTGAATCTCCAATGGTTCGGAGACCACTGTAGTTCTGAAGAAACTGAAATCGTTAAATTTAATATATCTGGAGTCCATAACAATGCCGAAGTGTTCGAGATGAGGAATGTGTGTACTGTAAACAATCTTTGTCTTCCAATGCAAACTGTAGACATGAATCAGCTTCATTCCAAATATGACAACTTACAAAATCTTCCTATTGCCAGCTATACTGACGCCCGACCAGAGCTATTAATAGGATTGGACTTTTGTCATTTGGGATTATCGAACAGAAAGATTCAACAAACATCAAATGGACCTATTGTTGCAGAAAGTCCTCTTGGTTGGATAATTTATGGAAGAACAGTTGACAATGAGATACAATCAAGTCCAGGAAGAATGTTTCATGTGAGAGGGTATTTTGACGACATACATGCTATTGTGAAAGAGTATTTTACCACTGAAAACTTTGGTGTTGAACTATCAACAACACCAAGAGAGTCTTCTGAAACGGTTCGAGCGCGTCAACTATTGGAATCAACAACAAAAAAGGTCAAAGGTCGTGGTCGAAAGTGGTCTATTATGGAAAAACGATGACATAGTTTTACCAGATAGTTACCCAATGGCAGTCAGTCGATTGAGAAATGTTGAAAACAAGATGAAAAAAGAACCTGTTTACGGTATGAAGTACAAGGAAACTATTGTCAGCTACGTGCAGAAAGGATATGTTCGTAAATTGTCATCTGAAGAGGTTGTTGAAATTACTCCACGGACTTGGTATTTACCACATTTCGGTGTACTGAATCCAAATAAGCCTGGAAAATTCAGACTTGTATTTGATGCCGCGGCTAAAGTTGGAGAAACATCCCTTAATTCATCATTGTTGACAGGTCCAGATCTAAATCAGCCACTCCTCACGGTTTTATCTAAATTTCGTGAAGGTCAAGTTGGGGTATGTGCTGACATCAAGGAGATGTTTCACCAGGTGATAATTCGTGAAGAAGACCAAAACTCTCAACGATTTTTATGGAGAAATGATAAAACTGGCGAAATTGAGGTATATAAGATGTTAGTTATGATATTTGGATCCACATCTTCACCGACAACAGCTCAATATGTCAAAAACTTTCATGCAACACAGTATCTAGAAAGTCATCACGAAGCGGCCAAAGCAATTATTGAACGACATTACGTTGACGATTACGTTAATAGCTTTCACACCGATGAACAGGCAATAACTGTATCCATGATGGTTAAAAATATTGAGATGGCTGGTGGTTTTGAATTACGAGGTTTTATATCAAATTCAAGAAAGGTTACTTCGATCTTGAATCAGGAACAAGGTGATCAACTATATCAAGTGGATATGAACTTGGACAAATCCCCTACATGTGATAAGATACTGGGCATGGTATGGGACACATCCACTGACGAGTTCAAATTCAACTTGAAGTTTAATCGTTTAGAATCGACAGTAATCACTTGTGAAAGAATTCCAACAAAGAGAGAATTTTTAGCGATTGTCATGTCAGTATATGATCCGTTCGGATTCTTAGCGGATTTTCTTGTATACATGAAGGTACTCTTGCAACTTGTATGGAGGTCTGGTGTAGAATGGGATCAACCAATTCCTACACATCTTTACGAGCGATGGTGTGCATGGAGTCGAGAATTAACAAAGGTTAGCCAATTTCGTATTACACGTTGTTACTCAAAGGGACTGCGGATGCCAAAAGCTGTTGAACTTCACATATTTGTAGATGCGAGTGAAGTCGCTTTTTCAGCAGTGTGCTACCTTCGAGTTACTTCGCAAGATGAAGTTACAGTATCATTCGTCATGGGGAAAACTAAATGCGCACTTGTCAAATACCTTTCCATCCCAAGGCTCGAATTGCAGGCAGCAATTCTTGGAGTTAGAATGTATAAAACTGTTTTGAGATCTCACAATTTTGTTATTTCAAAATCGACATTTTGGAGCGATTCGAAAACTGTACTTCATTGGATCAAGGATGACAGAAGAAAATACAAGACATTCGTTGCTAATAGAGTGGGTGAAATTTTGGATTCAACAGAACCCACTCAATGGAACTGGGTTTCAACACATGAAAATGCTGCTGATGATGCGACACGTGACATTTATCCACCTCAGTTCAAACCTATTCGAAGGTGGATAAACGGACCAGAATGGTTGAAGCAAGACAAAAGTAAATGGCCTCATCAAACAGATTGTCATGTAGTAAATGATGAAGACCTAGAACTACAACCACCAAAACATGTAGTTATGATGATTCGTGAAAATATGATTCAATTTAACTTTGCAAATAGCTCGAGTTATTTCAAAGTTTTACGTACAGCTGCTTGGATGATACGTTTTGTAAAGAATTTAAAAGCTAAAGCTTCCAACATGAATTTGCATACAGGTGAACTAAAAGTTGAGGAAGTAAGACAGGCTGAAATTTTGATATTCAGAACTGTACAGATGGAAACTTTTCACGAAGAATACGATTCACTGACTAATTGTGTTCCTATCAGCAAATCAAGCGATATATATAAGTTGACACCAGCCTTGGATGAAGATGGGATTATTAGATTAAATGGACGAATTGACAACGCTCCTACACTACCAATGAGGACCAAGCGACCTATAATTTTACCAAAACAACATCCAGTCACAAAACTTGTCATCAGTCATTATCATCGTTTATGTCACCACCAAAACGAAGAATTGATCATTTGTGAAATTCGGCGAAAATTTTGGATTAACGATTTACGTGTTTTAGTAAGGTCATCTAAACGCCAATGTCAGCAATGTAAAAATGAAACAGCTCAACCAGAGGTGCCACAAATGGGACAGTTACCACTAGATCGCCTAACTCCAAACATTCGACCGTTTACGTACACCGGACTAGATTATTTTGGACCTGTTCATGTTACAATTGGAAGAAGACGTGAAAAGAGGTGGGTGGCATTATTTACTTGCTTGACGATTCGTGCAGTACATCTCGAAATTGCACAAGACTTATCGACAGATTCTTGTATCATATGCCTCCGAAACTTTATGAATTTGAGAGGAGTTCCAGTTAGAATCCGATCAGACAACGGATCTAATTTCCTCGGAGTGAAGGGTGAGTTGATGACAGTTGAAAATTTGAATAATAAAGATGCCATAATATCGGAATCCACAATGAAAGGAATAGAATGGCTGTTTAATTGTCCTTCCAGTCCATCAGCGGGTGGATGTTGGGAGCGACTAGTGCGATCTATTAAAAGAGTTCTCAAACATTCGTTAAAGGAAGTAGCTCCGAGGGTTGAAACATTACGCAGTTACTTGCTTGAAGCAGCAAACATGGTGAACTCTAGACCATTGACTCATGTACCTGTGTCAGCATTAGAAGAACATCCATTAACACCAAATTCTTTCTTAATTGGAGATACAAATGTTATACAATCACCTTATACGCCAGACGAAAAATTATGGACGTTTCGAAAGCAATGGAGAGTGGCAAATGCTTTAAAAAATCATTTTTGGCGTAGGTGGATAAGAGAATATTTACCTATACTAACCAGGAGAACAAAGTGGTTTGAATAGAAGGAGCCGATCAAAGTAGGAGATCTAGTAATCATTTGTGAAGACGATGTTCATCGAAAACAATGGATACGGGAATAGTAGAGAAAGTTTTTCCTGGTAAAGACGGTCAAGTACGGAGAGCAGAAATACGAACAAATGATCGACTTCTTCAGAGACCTGCATCTAAGCTTGCAGTTCTGGATGTCATTAGTAAATCAACCCAGTGATTGATTTACGGGGGTTGGAATGTTGCAGATCATCATTTTAGCCTTGACTGTTAAATAATTGCATTTTTTATTAATTTTGTCAGCTGAAATATTTAACGTCAAATAGCTTTTTTTTGAATATTGATGAACTGGTTTTAAGGGCACCAAATTTAGTACGTGTTTTTTAGTAGTACAAGTTGTATTTTGAATTTGACATGTTGTAGAGAATAAATCTTCCCTTACTTTGACATGGTGAATATTAGTTTGGAGGATTAAATTATAAACAGTGCCACCTGAACCAACCAGTACCTAATCAAAACGACGACTGGTCGCGACTACGACCAACAACACTTCCCCCCCCCCCCCACCCAAATCTCATCTTCAACTTTTTTACATTTAGGTCTCTTATTTCTATACCACGGGCCATACCTTTCTTCTTCCCTCCACCTTATCCCAGTCTCTCCTTTCTTGATGTCTTTCTAGTAGAGATTAAATACGGTTGGACTAAGTGGGTATCCCATTAGGTGTAATACATATATGCAGTCGATCGTTCTCCTCCTTTTTCTGAAGCCCATTTATGTTTTCTCTTCTTTTCAGTTCCTCTTCCTAGCCTTTCGTTCTGTATAATTGCCTAGATTCTATACGCTGTCATTATAGTAATTGCCCTATAGTTTCCCACACAATATTTGTTCCCTCTTTGGAAGATCGACTTCCAATCTTCACGTAAACCCCCTTTTTCCATATCTTGTTTACTAGATTTCTCATCCTTTCCTTAACGCTATCCATGGAGAAAATCCAAGCCACTTTCCCTTTTTTGAGCCTTTTTAATGGCTGGTCAATTTTATCTCTTGTTATCTCATCTCCTTCAACCTCCGCTCTTCCTACCTTTTCCAAAGCCTCTTCTTTCTCCTGCTTTCCTAGTAACTTGACAAATCGTTGTTTCCACTCCTCTAATTGTATGTCTTTCCCACTTGTTCTATTTCTTCCCTCTGTTTATCGCTTTCCATCCGTTTTCGTTTTTATTTCCCTGATTGAATCTTCGTATTTTTTCTGTTTCTCCATCTTTTTCTTTAATATTTTTTCTTTCCTCTCACCTCTTTCTCCTCTATGTCCCCTCTTCCTTCCTTCTCCATCATTTTAATATATCTATTTCTTTCTGTACACTCTATCGCACCACTCCTACCTTTCTTCTCTTCTCTCCACTTCTGTGACTTGTTGCCACGTTATTACTTTGTTAATACTCTTCTTATGCTATTCCACCCCTCCTCTGTACCTTGTCCTATTTGATCCGCTAGTCCCCTTCTATACAACTCCACCGTGTCTCCTGTTCATAACTGTATCTCCCTTGCTCTTTGCGTTATTTCATTTTTGTATCTTCTTATCGTTTCTTTTAGATTCAATTCACTCGGTTGGTGATCCGATTCTATCCTTGTTCATACCTTAAATTCATCACTTTCTTCCAATACTTTCTATTTCCTATTGTTTAATCAATTACCGACATCCTACTTCCTCCAATGTATGGGAATTGCCCGCCCCCCCTAATTCCGTATAAAATTTTCCAATCTCTTCTTTCTGTTAATTTCACTTTATTTGCCCTTCTTTGTTGCACCCTTTATCCCTTGATTTTCTGTCTTGTGTACCTCTTCCCATTTCTACCCATGTTCATTCCTGTTCTGGCATTAAAATCAACCGCACATATTAGCACCTCCTCCTCCCTTTCATCTACCATGTTTCCTATTTTATCTTTTGCCCTTCACCCCTTCTTTGTTTGTATATCGTTATCGTTCTCATTTCCTTTCCATCCACTTCCCCTCGTCTGACCTGTATTCCTTCTTCCTTTTTTGTTTCATCTCCCCATTCTCATATCCCTTTGTTCTATGTGCTTTGTGTAAACTCTGTGTAGCTTTTTTTTGCATAGATTATGGATCAATTAGTGTCAATTTTGTTGTAGCCATCTACGTATGGTATGTGTAAGAATCATCTACTTTGGCTCCATCCCACAACCCTTAAAATTTGATTGTGCTCCAGTCGAACTGCTCCGAGGGTAGGCGCCGTGTAAATAAGGTAAACGGAATTTCTGTATTTGTATTTCCATACGGACTGCGTCCGTTTCGAGTAAATTATTTTGTGTAGTTTTTTGCATAGATTATAGATAAATTTATTGAATTGTTTTGTAGTCGCTGTATGTGCTTTATTTTGTGCAGATTATTATATTATTTTCACTTCGAACACAAGATCTGTTAGTATAGATCACGTGAACAATGGATATGACTATGTATTCCCACACGAGATACTAACACGTGTTTTTTTTAAATTCGCTATTATATATTTTGTTATGGCTGGCTGTCTGGCTGGGTGGCTGGCAGTCCGGCTAAGCTCTCAGAAATTACAATGGCTAGAGACTTCAAATTATCACTTAGAGCTTTCTGTTATAGTGTAGATGTGCAAGCTCTAGCCCATTTTGAGTTAGATTACCCGTGAGATCGATAATTTTAAACTTTGCTAATAAAATACTGATCTGTATTACCAAAAACGCGCTTTAATCGTGCATTTGCTGATTTACAACTTGTTTAATTTTAATTTTATTGCACACCCCTATCCCAGAAAACTTCATAGTTCCCTTTTGTTGCAGCGTACGCCTGTTACAATATCGCAACGCGTTTCCTCGCGATTTTATCACTTTCTCGCTACCTACGTCTATTTACTGTTCTGTTAATTTCAATGAGCTCTGCGATTCACTGATATACCTTTCCAACCCTTTCATAGGGAAGTACGTCGGAATTACCCTTTACCCACCACAATAACTGCTATATTTAGACATTCTAATTTTCTACCATTGCCAGCAATTCATTCACCTTATCTATAAAGCACGTCGTTTGCACATCGAGTCGTAATTATTGCAAGTACCTAGATTTTATCGGCGCGGCGGTGGCTATTTTAGTGCCAACCCTCGTGTCCCTTGAAGGTTGCAACAGTCCAAAATAAAACGCGCGCCCTTGACAATATCGAACGGAACGGCATGTGTTTCACTTCCAGCGGTCCATGCGAATTCTACGGAAACTTTGACTTCTCCCTTCTCTACCTGTTTACGTTTACGATTGTAAGGGAGAAACTGAATTAGTATAAATAAAAACGGCTCAACCTCCACTTAATGAAAATTACGCGCTCTCCTCCGGTCATTACTTTTTATTAAAGTAGCTTCTACCTGCTCATTAAAATATTAGAGCTCCGTTTTATTGATCTTAAACTTTGCAGTTATAAACTTTATTGCCTTCTCGGATTACACCTTTACGAAGTTTCGTCGGTCCTTCGAGCCGAATACTGGCGCTGTGATTTTAAGAGGCCGTCGTGGATTGAATAAATTTGACTCGTCCCGTGCAACGGATTGCATAAGTAATCGGCGAGAGAAGGTACTATATTTGGTATCCATCTAAGGAATCCCTGTTCCATACCATCCAGCAAGGCCATGCAGATGACCAAACCAGGTTACGAGAGTCGCACAACAACTAGCCGCTTAGACCGGAAAATATGACTCCACCATCACACACTACACCACCACCTACACTTCCGCTTCCAGTGCCCAATTACGCACAGAAGCCATCTCAGTCGCACCCATCACCTACACCACTACCGTTGCTCTTCCTTCGGAGCGGCGGTGAGTATCACAATTACTACCCCAAAGCAATTTTACCCCATCCTTGTACCTTCCAAACTTCTCACCAACCACAAACCACAGTTATAGTTACTCTGGAAATAAAATGCTACTAATGGTGCCCCCAAAACTAAAACACTACTGTCGGTGGAATTAACAATAATTTTTTCTGCGTCTTTTGATTTCTATGGAGTATTGTTTTCCTAATGGTTTCCGGAAATCGAGGCGACGTAAAGTCGAAGAAAACCGAGTAAATACTGTCCCAATTGGGGCTCCTGTAACCGAAGTGCTGGCGGAAATTACGTAGCCATGAGCACCTTGTAACATTGCAAATTAAGCACAATTCCCATCTGTAGGCTGCTTAAGGACAGCCTAGTTTCGCTTGCGCTGTGGGAGTACCGTCGTCCTCATTGGCTTTTAAAGGCCTAAATTACTTAATAAGGGATAGGGGGAATTAATCTGTAAGAAACATTTTAAGGTATGCGGTCCTGGGCCACTGGGATATTCACTGCGTGTTTCAAGTTCACAATTTTCATATTTTAAGGGTAAAACCACGAAAGAACTCGTTGCTTAGAGGTCGCTGCGATGAATTTTGTTCGAGCTGTGCCAGAGTGACAGTTTGTTTTTACGGCCATCACAAAACCAAGTGGTGATTTCGAGTATTTTTTCTGAGATCGTAATTAAATTAAATGTTCCAATTTTGGAAATTTGCCTTGATCTTGATTCCCAATTTTGATTTTTGATCCCTGGCAAGGTCTCTTGTTACTAATTTCTGAATGCCATTGCTATTCACTTCATCCTTCCGTATCTTTTAGGAAAAAAATGAGACTGTCAGTGGAACTAGAGATTTCCACCCTCTCCTGCGGCCGAAACGTCAAGCAGAGCTGTTTGCCGTAAATCAATTGCGTTTCGCGATATCTGAATGTAGACTTTACATTGGATTTGAAACAAACCCCCTTACGGAACAAAAAAAAACAATTTGCTATTCATAAATTCACCCCTACCGGAACGTGACGGAATATTCTCGCACGGGTTAGAATCTAATCCGTTCCGACCGAAAACGTTACATTGTAAACAAGCAGACGACGCAAACTGTCCGATAGTTTACAAAAGTTCCGACGATAAGGACGGTAATCCGCGCCTTGAATAAATTTTAGAAAGCGGAATCACAGCGTCTCATCTCGCCATGAATTTTAATCACCACTCATCGCCCCGAGGCTTTTCCGCGCGAAGTTGAGAGAACGTGAAAATCGATTCGTCCCATCCGGATCGCGTACGTTAAATAGGAAACGGCTGTTTCCAAAAAAAAAAAAAACGAGGCGGCCTGATAACTGCTTAACCGTGCCATTTTTCAAATTAATAGGCGGGGGTGGTTTAATGTGCAAGCCGATAGCATTCTGTGTTGCAATCTCGTTCGGATTATCTGAATGAGGGGTGGTTTTAATGTAGACGGAATGAGCGCGAGATTATCTACGACGAGCATTTCGGACCGAAGGATTTCCTTTCCTTTATGTTTTTGGGTAGAATGCACTATTTGAGTTTCGATCTCCTTTTTACTTTTAACATTTTTGGAAAATATGAAGGCAAAAATCGCATTTTCACAGTAATGGTGCTTTCCATTAATTCGAAACTAGGAAAGTTAATAATGTATCGGAAAAAGTGTGGCTGGTTTGGGGTTCGGCCATTCTCCATATCGGCACTCCGACTACGCCATGTCGGCATATTGTTGAGCACCGGCACCTGCACTAAGGATGGGTCACCCTGTATGTGTATTTCAATTTTTATTTTGACGCTAAGTGTGGTTATAAATTGGGATTAAGCGCAATTCCGATCAATCGAATTCTAGTTTATCTCATGTCGTTCTCCGGTCGTTTGCGATAAGAGCCTTTATCGCTACGTTAGCTAATTAGTTTCAAGATAAGCACGCGTTAGCGCCGATGTAAGCAGATGTAAAGTATTTTGTTAAAGAGAAAGGAACGGAAGTGAGAACGGGAAATTGTTTTAAATAGAAGAGGAAAAAGTTAATCGCAACTTGGGGTGGTCAACAAGATCACCTGGCCTTAATGAACCGTCGAACCCTTATGGAGAGGAGGTGGGGACTAAATCCCCGCCTTTCCTTTTAACTATACACCACTACAAGTAAACCTCTTTTGACATACCTTGCTCACAAAACTGGAAGAAATAACGAGGCGTAGTCGTGTTACGTACGGTACCAAAAATCCCCAAATTGGGTTGGGCAGGAGTGATAAGAAATCCGCTCAGAAAGGAGTTGCAGCGTCTATGGGATTCTGCCCCTGGATTAAGACAACCCAAGAAACTAATCAGTTTTCTGGAGACTCAGTTCTCAGCAGAAGTAAATGAAAGTCATACATAGGCCTGGTCATTGGCCCCTGTCCCTTGAGATATCACTCTACCTCCTTGCGAGCGAGGAAGGTAAAGTCGTAATGTAGAGGAATGAGGGTGATGTATATGGTATTTTGTTAATAGTGTATGGATGTTTCTCTGTACCTATTTGTTATGAATTTGTGTTTATTTTTGTTATTATTATTACAGTATCTTACGTGAAATAGTCCGTCAAAATCATCGCCCCGTTATTCTCCACAATGCATGCTTGCCATCGGAAAATTTTCCTCGTCCCTTTCAAGAAAACTGACCGACTTGAAATGAGGACTCTAACCATTGACAACACTTCCATTCACACAAGATTTTAAATTATTTACTTATTTCTCTACGTTTATAACAACAGAAAGCATCATATGCCGTCGAAATCCGTAAAAAAAATCCGGTACAAAACTTAAAAAAGGCCGAAAAAGAACTTAATTGCAAAACTTTGGCGCGGCTGTCCGGGATTGGTAATCGTGACGGATTTAGTTTCAATATCGCCAATAGCCCGAACGAAAAAACGTGGGATCATTCAGTCTAAATGAAATTGATAAAGATCCCTTCGTGCGAACGCCCAAAAGTGTAAGCTTCCCGGAAATTGAGGATTTCAATTCGGGTACGGCATTTTCGAGTAAGCAAACGCCGGCGGAGTTCATTAGGACTTCGAAATTACGGGCGAACGGCTTTCATTAATTATAATTATGGCGAAAGTTGTTTGTCTAACATTTTTCCTCGACGTAGCTATCTGAATCGCGGAGGAAAGGGCTCCGGAGGGAAGAAAATGCGAGTTTCATTAACTTTAATGAAACTTGCGCGCAATTTCTTGAGGTTTTGTTTGTGAAGACGAACTTCCGTAAGGCTCACGTGGTTTTATTTGTCGTAATATGCACAACTGTTTGATGGACATGAAGCAGTATAATACAGTCTATACTAAAGCGAAGGGAAGAGACTCGAGGAAAGGGGTTGGGTTTTGTTTGAGCGGAGTGATATTTGTCAAGCTGGGCTTTGTGTAGTCTCTTGCTGAGCGCGAGATTATCTATCGCATGTCACTAACAGTGAATTATTGTTTAATCAAACAGGTAAAACTGAAAAAGCCTCCAAAAGGTGGTGCACTGGGACAATGTAAACTAATGCTTTAGAGACGTATTATTGCTATATCGGTAGATACTGTTGTGAAAACTACATCATGTGAACGCTTTATTCGGCTTTGGCTTCGTATGTGCATTTCAATTATTTTAAAGCGTAAATGTAAATGTAAATTGATTTTGAGGACAATGTTTTGATGATTTTGTTTAAATAATTGCTTTAGTTATTATGATTTGGTAATTATTTGCGGAGTTTATCTCATGTTGTTCTCCGGTCGTAGATCAGAAGTTTTCTCACGGCGTAAGCTAATTAGTTTCAAGAAAAGACCGCCGAAGTTTGACACAGGTGCAGATTATTCTAAGGCGTCACATTATTTTTGTAAAGGAAGAAGGATGAAAGGTAAACGAAACGGTAAAAGGTTTTAAATATGCAAACCGGACGTTAATTAAAGTTTTTTAGTGGTGGACTTTTGAAACATGGCCGTATTTGAGCGCGTTTGTTTGCAAAACAGTCGGTCTTGTATTCATCCAGGCTTTTTGAAGAGACAGTCAGGTTTGTTTAATTGTGAAGTTTACGAAGAAGTCAGTTGTGGCGCAATGAGGCATTTATCTACTACGCCGTTATGTGAATGAACGCTATAAGTCGAATTGAGCGGAGGCGGGTGAAAGTTTTCCTTTTGTAGGACAAGTTAGGTGAAATAGACACGCTCGGCAATCGTAAATGCAACACTTTGGTTTCAAGATGCCTTAGACACCTTTCTTTTTAAAAAGATAGCCAAATTTGTCCACTTCTATATGAAATGAAGGTTTCATTTTGTAGGCAAAGTTAGGCGGTGTTGTGCCGAACTCGCCTTCGGCTCGCTCTGCAATCATAAATACTTCCCTTTGGTTTAAAAATGCCCTAGACACCTTTTTTTCTTAGGAAAATAGCCAAATTTTGGCGGAATCAGTACATATTTGCCTATTTTTGTATGAACAAATCACCAAGGCTTCTTTAAACCCAAAATAGTGTACCTACGATTACCGAGCTAGCCGAAAGCGAGTTCGGCACAGATTCGGCCAAATTGGCCTACTTCCTATATGAAATGAAAGATTCCATATGTAGACAAAGATAGCCGGAATTGCGATCGTAGACGAGTCGCTTTGGTTTAAAAATGACTGAAACACCTGCTGTGTTTGGTCAAGGGTAAGGGACATTGAAGTGCTAACCTACTTATGATAATCTAACTCAGTGTATTTGATCAAACTCATTAACCACAAACAGTTGTGTTAATAAAATTGTGGTTTGCTCGTAACTTTTTAAATACACGGGTACACCAGGAAAAGACATGCGTCATTTGAAAATTGAAAGAAGTTTAGTATTATCGTTGGCGAGATTCTAATGTACACGGCCCGTCACATACCTTTCCGTTGTAATTCTTTTTGTTCATTTGTGAACAATTCTTTAAGAGAGAAAAAATCATCGTAATTGTGTGCTTGTAATGATTAAAGACGTTACAACGTTTTAAAAATTGTAACCACAAGGTATCATAGTGAAAGACTATAGAACTGGGTTGCGTGCACAAAAGGAAGAAGTCTATGCAACATTTATGACACGGTCTTTAAGCGGAGACGTCAGCGTAAGCAAACTTCTTTTTGTGTTTTTTTCAATATACAATTTCAGCGCTTTGTTGTGGACGATGTCAAAGAGTAACTAACAAACCTGGGTAGTTGTATCGATTATGGAACCCTACGCCCCCCGAGTGCTCGTGTGCTTTGCAACCTCAACTACAGAAGCGTAAATCAGAAAAAAAACGCGCATATTCAAAATAATTAGTTTTTCACCCCTTCACGGTCCTTATAATTAATTAACAAGATTAATACCCGCGATGTTTTTGGCATTAGTAAAAAAAATCGTTCTCATTTTGGAGAGGTCGAGTTACGCGCGTCTGTGGCGAGTTTTGCTTTTTTGCCGCGATCGGCGTAAACTTTATTAAATTGGAGATGTTGCGAGTAAGGGACGCGCCAGCAATTTACCAACCTCGTAATCCGAGGAGGTTTCGAGGGATTTGTCGCATAAATTACGGCATGCTGTTAGAGGATACCATTCGAAATCGCGTCGCATAGGATAATCGGGCATAGAGAAACGATCCCGCTCGAATTTAGGGGTTGGACCTTTATTACAATTGGAATCAATATCTGTTCTCGATGACTAGGTTTCCGAATAGTGCCAAACGTGCTGCATGTAAATTTTTTGTCGATCCCGCCGAATATATCCTGGAAATGTCCACCTGTGGTACACGCATCCTGATGTGATTTAAAACATAAAATAGAAAATATGTTATATGAAGGTGGGGAGGAGGGGTTAATATTGGGGGAAGATTTAAATGCCAGATCAGGGTATAAAGGAAAATGAATAGAGATGAGAAGAGAAACACGAGGGAGATAGAAATAGCAACGTGTGATTTACATACATGGGGGGAAGAGGGAGGCCGGTCATTGATTAAATGATTACATACTAACAAACGAAGAGATAGGTACTAGAAGAAATAGAAGAATTTAAGGTAAAAACTGCTGACTCCACTTTTAGTGCAACAGTGAAATTGGAGAGTGTTCTATCTCTTTTAAAGGATGCTTTACTTTCTTCTAGTGACAGCAGTAACATGTACCCAAAATGCTCAGGAAACATTCATTTTCGTGCCTACTTTATGTCAGGAAATTTAAGTTTCCATGACAGAGGCAGTCTAGACTACTTTTCCTGTCGCCAGTCACTTTACCAAGCGCACTTGTCACATTACGGGTCGCGTCTGTCACTTTTCCGGCAGCATCTGTCACGTTGCTAAATGTCTATAATGACTGCTGTCATCAATGACAGATTAACATTAGTCAAAGGTTCTATGTGAAAATTGAAATTTCATATTACAATACGATTTCGGGTAATAGTATATTGCATAATAAGTGTGCTAAGAAGCCTATTTCGCACGAGTATTTTTCGACACGAGCGAGCGCAGCGAGCGAGTGTTGTAATAAAATCGAGTGCGTAATAGGAATTAGCACTCGAATTATGTACTATACTTTTTCTACGACTTGAATATAATTGATAAAAGATTGATAGATTACGATTGATTTGGTTCTAAATATTCGAACTTCGAACTAAAAATTAGAACTGTCAAGTGTCAAATGTCATGGTCTATTTAAAAGGAATACAAAATACAACGTAACCTCACTTATATTCCATGAATGCACGCAGCGAGCAAGAATTTTATAAATACTTTTTACTTAGATTGGAAGTGTATTGCAGGGTTTTGACATCCCTATTCCTTACTGCAATTTGAGTTTCATTTTAGCACCATAGATGCAATAGCCAATAGGATACAAGATACAAGTGTTGAAGTTGAAGATTACTACCTAACTACGGTCTATTCAGTATATCTTCCGTTGCACGTCATTACCTGAAGAAAACGACGTACCAACTTAAACTTACTTTCGTTTATTAGGCAACACATTAAGCATGTAGTTTATTTTAGCCGCAACAATTGGTAGCATTTCGCTATGTTGTCGCGTTTAAATTTGTAAATTTGACAGGTTGCTTTTGGTTTACTTTTGATTTGATTTTGATTATTTTCTACGTCTTTCGCTGTGCATTGGTTTGAAGAGAAATTACTGAAGAATTTAGATAACCCGTCAGTAATTGTGTTAGATAACGGGAAAACAGACAACATTAAAGTGTGGTTAGGTGATCATAATGTGCAGTTCTCCGAAAATGATTTTAAAGCCGAACTGTTGAAAAGGTTGCACAGTAAGTACGTTCGCAAATTATTTGATATTATTTAAATCTTGTTGATACTTTTAGGAATAAATCAGCTAAAATGTACCGCATAACGCATTGACCACTTAGCCGAGCAATACGGTTACTTCGTTTTACGATTACCACCGTATCATTGCGTTTTTAATCCTATCGAACATATTTGGGGCATAGCGAAAAATTACTACAATCGACAGATTGGTAGAGATGGACGAAGCATTGAAAATTGCGTAAACATGTGACAAGAAACACTACAATCGATAACTTCCTAAACGTGGCGCAATTCAGTTAAGGATACGGAAACTGTAATACACGAGTGGTACAAAAGAGAAAAGCAATTAGATCTTGAAAACGTTGCTACTATTATTATAAACTTTGAACACGAAAGCAGTTCCGATGATTCCGATTAATTTGAATATCATCCATCACATCACATAACCTGTAAAATTTTATATTTAGTACTTTCTCTGTAAAAGAGATGGTACATTTGTACAGTTCATAAGTTATTAAAGTATATTGTATGTATATTGTGGTTCCAATTAACGAAATGAATAATAAAAATTATTTTTATTTTTAAGGTGTGGATTGGTCACACTAAAGTCACTAGATATAGAAAGTACCGCAATCATCCGCCATTTTTGGGCAAATTTACTGCCAACTTAAAAAAATTGACAAATAAAATCTGAATAGCTGTCATTTTTTATAACCTAACTTCATAGTACTGTCATGTTTTATAAAAATATATACAGGTATCTCCAAACAGGTGGAACAATCCCTAACATTAAAGTTACTAGAATCTGGTAACTTCCGCCATTTTTGGGCAA